CCTGGCCATCACCAACTCCAGGAATCTACTCATACTCATGTCCATTGAGTCAGTGATGCCATCCAACCATCTCATCCTCTGTCGTCCCCTTCTCCTCCTGCCCCCAATCCCTCCCAGCATCAGGGTCTTTTCCAACAAGTCAACTCTTCGCATGAGGTGGCCAAAGTATTGGAGTTTCAGCTTCAACATCACTCCTTCCAATGAACACCCAGGACTGATCTCCTTTAGGATGGACTGGTTGGATCTCCTTGCAGTCCAAGAGCCTCTCAAGAGTCTTCTCCAGCACCACAGTTCAAAAGCATCAATTTTTCGGCACTCAGCTTTCTTCACAGTCCAACTCTCACTCACATCCATACATGACCCCTGGAAAAACCATAGCTTTGACTAGACAGACCTTTGCTGGCAAAGTAATGTCTCTGCTTTTTAATATGCCATCTAAGTTGGTCATAGTTTTCCTTCCAAGGAGTAAGCGTCTTTTAATTTCACGGCTGCAATCACCATTTTACAAACCCCTAATAAAATTCTTGACCTAGGGAATAACCAATGGCTGCTAAAATTATACAGAGTAACAAACAGATATTATAGTGCCTTGGAAGTATTCTTTCAAAACAGAAACAGAGGAACATGGTCAATAACACCACAGGGATGCAAACAGCAAAACAGAGTCTGAGAAAATCTGTAAGGCAAGTGTATTACAAGAAAAAAGGAAGAGGGGAAATGGAAGAAGAAACTATAAATTAAAAGAGACATATCAATTGAATGTAATGCATGAACCCTGATTTGAAAAGCCAACTATTAAAAAACTGTGAAATTATAAGTGTAATTTGGGCTTCCCTGATGGCTCAGATGTTAAAACAATCTCACTGCAATTCGGGAGACCTGGGTTTGATCTCTGGGTTGGGAAGATCCCCTGGAGGATGGCATAGCAATCTACTCCAGTGTTCCTGCCTGGAGAATCCCATGGATAGAAGAGCCTGGTGGGCTACAGTCCCTGGGGTTGCAAAGAGTCGGACACGACGGAGAGACTAAGCACAGCACAAGAGTGATTTGAACATTTATTTGAACATATATTTGAAAATACTGAGGAAGTGATATGTTTACATATTTTGAGAGAGTCCTTACTCTATAGAGATATATATGGAAATATTTATGGATGAAATTATGGTGTGTGGCACTTGCTTCAATGTAACCCAGCTGGGTATGCAGTCATAAATGAAACAAGACTAGTATCAGTTGATAATTTTTGCAGCTGGATGATGGGTATATGGTGTTCCATATATGTCCACATAACTGAACTCTTCCTTAATAAAAAGTTGCGGGGAGAAAGGCTAAAATTTGAGTTTGGATAACTGGGAAACTATTCCAAACATGCTTTGTTCTTTATGAGCCATAAAGGATACCAAGAATGTTCAGGCTTTGAGGATCTCTGTTTCCACTAGGATCTATGCACCTGCCAGTTTCTCATGCTATAAGAAAATCTTTAAGGAAAATTACAAAAGAAAACAGGAAATGGAGGCAAGTAGGAACCATCCCGGGAGTTTTTCCCTTTGATTATCCTATACAGGTTTACTTTGAAGAAAAAAAAAAGCAATCAACCTTCCAAAGAAATTAAAGACTGCTTACTTCACAATCTAACTAGAAGTAAACAGACTGACAAGCAGCAAAGAATGATGCTCTGCATTTGAAGAGCATTTTAACTTTTTAAAGTTCTTTAAAATACATGTAAATTGTACCATTTGATCTTAATAAAAACTTTGGAAAAGGGACAGGGAAAATACTTCCTCGAAGAAACTGACACAAGGGAGTCACAAGATTAGGCAGTGGCAGAATACAAGCCTTCTATTCCTGTTTTAGTGCTTCTTCCAGTAAACTGTACCCATCCTATTCAACTGGGCTTAATTATTCAATATAGGAAAAAAAAATGCCCAGATCTCTTTCATTACCAATAAAAGTCATAAATATCTGATAACATGTAGGTTCATAAAAATAGTTACTGACAAGTTGTTGTTCATGTTGGACAGCTCCTAAAAATTTACTTGGCAATTTAGACAGTTCAAAATGGTGTGGGAAACTCAGGCATGAGCAATCTTTTTTCTATCAAAAGCCACAATACTCGGGGAAAAGAGAGACATCAAGTGAAGAACTTAAGAGAAATTTAATGTGTGTGTTCGTGTATAACGCATGTTTTGTAAAATAAGAGAAATAAACATACATACTAACAAGGATCTTTTTTCCAATTTAATAAATGGACATTCACCCCATTTATTTGAACATGTTCCAACTTCAATGCAAGTATTGAGGAAGAATTCTCTATACACAATGAAAGAACACCCAACTTGTTGATTGTGAACAATAATAAGCAAATTTGAAATAACCCAAATTCTGCAATTTCTCTCCTGGCATCCTTAGCTCAACACCATATACTATTTCAGTCGAAGCACTCATTTTGACTCACCAAACATCAGGACAGGAATGAACCCAGGGCAGGCTTGAAGCCAGGGTCTGCTGAAAGATGCTATACCTAGGAAACGTCTTTCAACTCATCCAGTCCCACAAAGAACACTCAAGAATGTGCTGGGGTTACCTGTTCCAATTATTTGCTTCCGCTAAAAGCTGGCAAGCTGATCCAAAGTTCCTGGATCAGAGACAGGAGGGTGTCATCAGCAGACAAGTCCTTGTAAGGATCTAAGAATCCTTACTTCTATTTGCAAGTGTGCTGTGTTGATTGCTGACTTTCCATATCCTTTGCTATTACAGAAACTTTACACTCTCAGACTGTCAGGAGACTGTCAGTGGCATCACTGTCCTGATATGACAACCAAGTCAACTATTCCTGACATCACTTCATATCACCAGAGTTTCGTCTTACTCATCTAGGTGCTCTCCCTAGAATGAGTGAAATTCAAAAAGATGCAGTCTCACTGACAACAAAATACCTAGCCTATATGGGCATGTTTGAAGAGAGGACAGAGACAGCTCACCATACCACCATTATGAAAGCCCCAGGAGCCCACAATGAGAGATGCAAGTTCATGTGAAACAAATACATTGTCTTTCTAGTACTTTCTCTCTAGGGTCACTTAGAAATGAAATTTGGAATAGAATTAACACTTGTGGATCATCTATTCTGCATCAAGCATTGTGCTAGCTACTTAAATCTCTCATTTAATCCTAATAGCCATTCAAGGTGCTTTTGCTATTGGTGCCTTTTCATACATGATTTTCACAAAGATGCTGAAGTGAAGTGAAGTCGCTCAGTCGTGTCCGACTCTTTGTGATCCCATGGACTGTAGCCATCCGTGGGATTTTCCAGGCAAGAGTACTGGAATGGGTTGCCATTTCCTTCTCCAGATCACAGAGATGTCAGGTGACTTAATTTTAAAGTCTGAAAGCTACTACTTGAAAGAGGCAAAAATTAAACCCAAATCAGTACATAAATCTTTATGACTTATTTCTTACAACTCTATTTGCTTTCCAAAGGAGTTATACTGACTTAAAATGATACCAGAACCAAAGATATTCCTACTTCATTTTTTTGGTGAGAGAACTGGGTAGCTTTAATACCAAACAGGGGTTACCATGCCTGGAACCAAATTCCTATATTAAACCAATACCCATTTTCATATACCCAATCTAACAGTCTATACCAAATCTCTCCTTACCAGTTAGACTTTGTGTAGTCAGTGGAAGAGCAGAAATATTTTATTCAACCTCTACAATACGTTCAAGTATTTGGACTATACAAGTTGCCCTCTACATTTCAAAATCTATGAATAATAATCTGTCTACAAAATTTCCCAGACAGATTTATATTAGTTTACTTGGAAGTACTAAACCTTTGAATTTTACTATAAAATGAAGATTCCAAAACACATAGTATTCAATTTGCTGAAAGCACTGTAACAAAGGATTAAAGACTAAAATTAAAAAAAAACAAAACACTTTAAAGTCTATGTACTATGTAGCTACATTAATATTAGAATACGGGAAAATGGTAAAAGCTATCACTTTAAGAGAACTGACTCCAAAAGTACTGTGCCAAGTACTTTATAAACGCTTCATTTTGTACCTTCCAAAATGTTAACTCTATTTTACAAGCAAAGTGACAATGGTAGGAAAGTTCAAATAACTTGCCCAAAGTAATACAGCTAGAAAGTGGTAGCTGCTGCTGCAGTTTGTACAACTCCAAAGATTTTACCTCTTATTGTCACAGTTTACTGCCTCCTAATTCCTATCTGGTAAACATATCTTTATCCACAATTCTAAAACCATTATTGAAACACATACAAAATTAATTTTTTAAAAAATTATTTAAACCTATTATTAACTATATCCATTAATTTGTCATAGCTTCTAAAGTAAAATAATTTTAAAGTGCCTAAAGAATTATCATTAGGAAAATTCAAGTAAGGCAACAGATTTTCATGAAGTCCTGAGAGGTCAAGAACAGATAATTCACACAACAAAACCGTTATCACCGCTTGGGAGTTACTGTTCTTAAATTGATGTGAAGATAGTAAGACCAGGATACCATCTTAAGTATTTAAAACAATGTAAATACTGTAAACCCACCAGCCTAAAGGTTGAACCAAAGAACCCACTTTCAAAATCATGTTACCTTCAATATTTACTAAGTGAATTATGAATCTTATTATCATAGTCTGCTCTTTAAAGTCTTATTATCAAATAACAGAAAAGATGTAACCATAACTTGGACAATTTAAACTTCTGAAAGGCTATTACTTCCCCAGTTTCAATGTTTCAAATTTTTTCATAAAAGAATAATATCTGAAAATGAAGATGAGTCACATTCCTGAAACATGAAATCTTCAATCTATCAGAGTCTGAAACTAAATACATAACTTTTTAATGTACAAGATGCAGTTAAAAATAACATATTAGTTTTTCCTGTTGTTTATCAGACACATTCATTAGACTGATTAAAAGGGCAATACAAGAAAAATTTTCTATGACATGCCAAATAATAGATGAAGTCTTACCTCCATTGCTAAAGCGGCCGTCTGTTGGTCATAATGATTCAGAAGATTGGGCATGAAGGTAGTATTATAAGGCAAATCTTGGCACATCCTCAAGGTAATAGGCTCACAAGAAAACAAACTGTGCCCACCTATATGGCCCACAAACATAGTCAAGGGCCACAGATAGAAGACGATCCAACTCATAGCCATGCTTCCTTGATTGAATGAGATTCAGATGATCAGGCCTACTCAATATGTATTTTAGATCTTTGTACACCTGCAGGTCTCAGCTTGAAAGTACTTCTTCTATCTTACTGTTAAGTTCTTCAAACAGAAATACTCTTTGCACCGTCAGAGGTTTGTTAGCTTGGTCTCACAAAAGGCATTTGTTTTGGTTTCACAATATGGGAAAATGACATCATCTTGCCTCTTCTTTTCATTTTATTACATCGGGCACCATTTGGCCAACGTGTCAAGTTGATCAACCACATTCCCAAACAACAGATTCCATCTTAGGAGAAGAGCTGTTTCTTCCTTTGATTGAAATATCTGAAAAATAATTTTTTTAAAAATGAGATAAATTAGCAATTTCCTCTTAAAATATTATAGGCTTAATATAAAAACTTTGATTAGCTCAGTAAAGCTGCAGGATACAAAATCAGTATACAAAAATCAGTCGCGTTTCTACACACTAACAATCAGCTACTAGGAAGAGAAATTTTAAAATACTGCCTTTGGGACTTTCTGGTGGTCCGGTGATTAAAACTGCACACATCCAGCGCTGGGGCACCGGTGCACTCCCTGGTGGAGAACTAAAATTCCAAATGCCGGGCGTGTGGCTAACAACAACAACAACCACGAACTTTGATGACAGATATAATACTGCCTTACAGGAACATACATGGGTATTTCATAAAAAAATACTATAGTTTTTCTACTTATCATTCTTGCTATAGATATACCAGAGAATCCATAAATAGCATTTAAAGGCACTATTTCCTCCCTCAGTTGTTTATATAACATACAGTTTAATTTCCCACCTATAATGGTAGTTTTTCATTTGTCACAAGACATAATTGATCCATTTGGAAAAACTTGCATGCTGTTGTCCCAAATTTTATTTAAATATCTGCCACACTTAATAACAAGTTATTTAAATTTTATTGTACATGTTTTAATCATTAAATGATTCGGCAGATGGTATCTGAGAAAGGTGTAAAATATAAAAAAATCAAAAGATACAGATTCAAGCCTCTTCCCAACTATGTGAATCACTTAACTTCTCTGAGCTCAGAATTTTCCTTTCTAAAAATTGTACCTCCCTATCAAAGACAGCATATGAGTGAATTATAAAATAATGTACTCTATAAAAGGTAAAGCAACATCAAAATTTAGGTAGTTTTATTGCTGAATTAGAGCAGATACAAAGATTTACTTCTATTAACCAATACTGAACTGGCAAACAGAAGATTCTAAAAGTAGTATCAGGACATTTTCTCAACAATGCTTCATCCTTTTAAATAGTACAAAAATTTAATACATAGATAGAGAAGATAGATAGACAGATAGATAGATAGATGCACAGAGAAAACGTTTGACCAACAAATGCTTCATTACATACAATCAGGCTGCAGAGAAGAGTCAACCCTAGAAAGTTACAGTGTGGGATATGAAAGATTTCCAGAGTTTCTATCAAGTTTCAGAGTCTGATTTGACACTGCCTTTCCTAGAGGCTTCCCTGGTGGCTCAGATGGTAAAGAATCTGCCTGCAATGCTGGAGACATGGGTTCGATCCTTGGGTTGGGAAGATTCCCTGGAGGAGGAAATGGCAATCCACTCCCCATTCTTGCCTGGAGAATTCCACAGACAGAGGAGCCTGGCAGGCTACAGTCCATGGGGTCCCAGAGAGTTGGATGCAACTTTCACTTTCACTTTTTTTCTAGGGACAAAAATATGCATCTCTTTGGGGGCTGGAAGGGTAGGTAGAGTGGAAGGTAGGAGTGGTAGGAAAAAAGCATATTCTAAAACTATCATACTTCCATTTGGTTTTTTTTTTTTCATTTATTTTTATTAGTTGGAGGCTAATTACTTTACATCATTGCAGTGGTTTTTGTCATACATTGAAATGAATTAGCCATGGATTTACAGGTATTCCCCATCCCAGTCCCCCCTCCCACCTCCCTCTCCACCCGATCCCTCTGGGTCTTCCCAGTGCACCAGGCCCGAGCACTTGTCTCATGCACCCAACCTGGGCTGGTGATCTGTTTCACCCTAGATAATATACGTGTTTCGATGCTGTTCTCTTGAAACATCCCACCCTCGCCTTCTCCCAGAGTCCACAAGTCTGTTCTATACATAGGAGTCTCTTTTTCTGTTTTGCACATAGGGTTATCGTTACCATCTTTCTAAATTCCATATATATGTGTTAGTATACTGTAATGGTCTTTATCTTTCTGGCTTACTTCGCTCTGTATAATGGGCTCCAGTTTCATCCATCTCATTAGAACTGATTCAAATGAATTCTTTTTAATGGCTGAGTAATATTCCATGGTGTATATGTACCACAGCTTCCTCATCCATTCGTCTGCTGATGGGCATCTAGGTTGCTTCCATGTCCTGGCTATTATAAACAGTGCTGCGATGAACACTGGGGTGCACGTGTCTCTTTCAGATCTGGTTTCCTCGGTGTGTATGCCCAGAAGTGGGATTGCTGGGTCATATGGCAGTTCTATTTCCAGCTTTTTAAGAAATCTCCACACTGTTTTCCATAGTGGCTGTACTAATTTGCATTCCCACCAACAGTGTAAGAGGGTTCCCTTTTCTCCACACCCTCTCCAGCATTTATTGCTTGTAGACTTTTGGATAGCAGCCATCCTGACTGGCATGTAATGGTACCTCATTGTGGTTTTGATTTGCATTTCTCTGATAATGAGTGATGTTGAGCATCTTTTCGTGTGTTTGTTAGCCATCTGTATGTCTTCCTTGGAGAAATGTCTGTTCAGTTCTTTGGCCCATTTTTTGATTGGGTCATTTATTTTTCTGGAGTTGAGCTGGAGGAGTTGCTTATATATTTTTGAGATTAATCCTTTGTCTGTTGCTTCGTTTGCTATTATTTTCTCCCAATCTGAGGGCTGTCTTTTCACCTTGCTTATAGTTTCCTTTGTTGTGCAAAAGCTTTTAAGTTTCATTAGGTCCCATTTGTTTATTTTTGCTTTTATTTCTAAAATTCTGGGATGTGGGTCATAGAGGATCCTGCTGTGATTTATGTCGGAGAGTGTTTTGCCTATGTTCTCCTCTAGGAGTTTTATAGTTTCTGGTCTTACATTTAGATCTTTAATCCATTTTGAGTTTATTTTTGTGTATGGTGTTAGAAAGTGTTCTAGTTTCATTCTTTTACAGGTGGTTGACCAGTTTTCCCAGCACCACTTGTTAAAGAGGTTGTCTTTTTTCCATTGTATATCCTTGCCTCCTTTGTCAAAGATAAGGTGACCATAGGTTCATGGATTTATCTCTGGGCTTTCTAGTCTGTTCCATTGATCTATATTTCTGTCTTTGTGCCAGTACCATACTATCTTGATGACTGTGGCTTTGTAGTATAGTCTGAAGTCAGGCAGATTGATTCCTCCAGTTCCATTCTTCTTTCTCAGGATTACTTTGGCTATTCGAGGTTTTTTGTATTTCCATACAAATTGTGAAATTATTCGTTCTAGTTCTGTGAAAAATACCGTTGGTAGTTTGATAGGGATTGCATTGAATCTGTAGATTGCTTTGGGTAGTATAGCCATTTTGACAATATTGATTCTTCCAATCCATGAACACGGTATATTTCTCCATCTGTTTGTGTCCTCTTTGATTTCTTTCATCAGTGTTTTATAGTTTTCTATGTATAGGTCTTTTGTTTCTTTAGGTAGATATACTCCTAAGTATTTTATTCTTTTTGTTGCAATGGTGAATGGTATTGTTTCCTTAATTTCTCTTTCTGTTTTCTCATTGTTAGTGTATAGGAATGCAAGAGATTTCTGTGTGTTAATTTTATATCCTGCAACTTTACTGTATTCATTGATTAGCTCTAGTAATTTTCTGGTTGAGTCTTTAGGATTTTCTATGTAGAGGATCATGTCATCTGCAAACAGCGAGAGTTTCACTTCTTCTTTTCCTATCTGGATTCCTTTTATTTCTTTTTCTGCTCTGATTTCTGTGGCCAAAACTTCCAAAACTATGTTGAATAGTAGTGGTGAGAGTGGGCACCCTTGTCTTGTTCCTGATTTCAGGGGAAATGCTTTCAATTTTTCACCATTGAGGGTGATGCTTGCTGTGGGTTTGTCATATATAGCTTTTATTATGTTGAGGTATGTTCCTTCTATTCCTGCTTTCTGGAGAGTTTTAATCATAAATGGATGTTGAATTTTGTCAAAGGCTTTTTCTGCATCTATTGAGATAATCATATGGTTTTTATCTTTCAATTTGTTAATGTGGTGTATTACATTGATTGATTTGCGGATATTAAAGAATCCTTGCATTCCTGGGATAAAGCCCACTTGGTCATGATGTATGATTTTTTTAATATGTTGTTGGATTCTGTTTGCTAGAATTTTGTTAAGGATTTTTGCATCTATGTTCATCAGTGATTCCATTTGGTTTTGTCATGGTGTTAAGTCTGCTTTTACTTTATTTTCGTTTCATAGATGTCAAATATTTCTGTTTGAACTACACAAATTTGGTTGGGAAAACATGAGAAAGTCAGGTTCAGAAATTCTCAGAGACCCAGGTTAACAAGACACCTCAAATAGATGTTAGGGCCCATGAGAGCTTAGACCTTGGGAACTTGAACTGGCTTGGCTAAAGCAGAAGAAACTGTCCTTTGTGCACTACCAATGACAGGGACCCCTGCATCCCAAGTTTTAATTACTGGGCAGAAAAAACTATTTGGAGAAAGTAAAGCCATGGCTGAACTTCCCAATTTCTCCCCCAAGCATATGGTCTTGAGTAGAAGAAGGCAAAAGGAAAGTCTATAACCTTAGGAATAACCAAAGTTACGAGCAACCTCTGCCCTAAACGTCTAATCTCTCTAATACTGAAATCTCTAAATCAGAAATATTTGTTAAAGCTTCTTGGCCTGCCATATTTTTCTCCTCCTTCAAGCTGGGCCCAGAAATGTGATGTCTGGCTATGGAAAAGTGATATTAAACACAGTCATGTATATTTAAGCT